TTCACGTAGTATGGGTATGGTGACGGCTCTCACATGACAACTAAAGACAGATTTATTTTTAAAACGAACTTAGATTTTGACTAAGCAAAAATGGCCAGTTAAGCAAGTTTTTCGTAGTTACAAAAACGTAGGTAGAGTTCGTTTTATAAATACAAAAAAACTTGCTTAAATCTCCATTTTTGTTTAGTCTAAGTCAATGTGCATTTTAGAAATCTCAGCCATAGTGATGTTACCTTACAACGAACTCTTATTGATTTTTGAACAAAAATTTGAATCAAATCGAAATGCGTTTGTTTTTTACGCACACACTCAACATATCCCCGCACTAGGGTGTCGCAAGGGCCATGGACACACATAGACAACCACAAATTACACCCAGACTCACCAGAGAAATAAATATAGGCCAAACATATATTTCTCCCGGCCCGGGAATCGAACCTGGGACCTCTGCGTGGCAGTCCGGCATGGTAACCATTCGGCCACGGAGGCAGTTAAAGTTAAAGTTATAGTTGTTAGTTATTGGCAATGGTGTGGCGACAAACATATTTAGATGTGGTAATCGGTTGTAATAATCGATATGTCCATAAGACTTTCACGAAATCCCAGATAACCCCATTTCCCTGTGACGCGTAGGCGTATTAGGCTCTTTGCCATATTAACAAAAATTTTTATATATATAACATTTTCTAAATTTTGCTAATGTTAATAGAGTGTAAACATACCAATGCAATGAATGCGATGGATATTCACGGATCTCCTTTATGGGCAAGTTGTGGGCAAGCGAGTCTTCAAAGAGTTTTATAAAAGTTATCCGACACTTCTCCCACATATTAACGATGTCGAAACAAGCACATCCATCCTCTGATCAACGAAATTGATGATAGAATCAATTTCATGTTACACAATGTTCTATTACTCCATACAATAACTCTTGACTTCTTTTTTTGAAAATTTTTTTCTGTTTTTTTTTCCTGCCACTGTTGTTTACATAACCACAAGCTCATTTTTACTGGGCAGTTGGAATGATTTCACGGGCGCTCGCGGTTAGCTCACAAAAAAATGTTACATTTACGGTCCTTTGTTATGTTAAGTATGGCTGCACGACGTGGAGCTAACTGTAAAGCATTTGAACTCTAAAATCAAATGTAATTTTATTATATCTACATTGAAATGAAATGATTTTTATTTGCATGAGATATGGTTAGATAAAAGTTTATAAACAAGTTACTACTGTAGGGCCTAGCACCACACGGCGCGACTTGCGCGAGAGCGACATAAAGCGCGAGATGTTTAGGCGAGAACAACAGTATCTCGCGTTTTATGTCGCTCTCGCGCAAATCGCGCCCTGTCGTGCTAACCTACTGGTGCAGCATTTATCTTAACGATCGTTGGCATTCAAAAATTGAAACTTGCAGTACATTTAAATATTACATCTTAATACATACCTATACTACACTGTATACAAGCCTAAAAATTATTTAAAAAAACGAAAATCGTACTGCAAAAATATTTCGCTGGAAAGATAAAAAAAATGTTCCCCACTCACTATTTTGATTATTTTTGATAGCCTATGACACTCCCACCATCAAGAGGAATCTAACGACACCTCATATGTCAAAATCCATCAAGCCGTTTAGGCTGTACAGCGTGAAAAAGAAATGGACATACATACATACACTTGAAAAACATAGCCCTCCCGCAACAGTGTTATAAAATTAAACATATTCTAACATTTTTTTTAAATTTCAAAAACAATTTTGCAAATGCTATTTCTCTAGTTTTCTTCACATTTGATTTATCGGCAATGCTTTCAAATTATTTAGAATTTTATTGAACATTGTAAGTACTAATTGACACTACAATCAACGGCAATAAGAGTTAATACATTCAGGCGTTACTTTGCGGAAGTCCATGTTAATAAAACTGGAAGTAAATAAATTTGCTACTCCGCGAGCCCAGTGAAGGTTGAATCTTGTGTTGAATATATTTTTTATATAACTTTTTTTAATTAACGGCATGAAAAAATAGTCAGTATTCGCGCAGCTATTTTCACAATTTAATGTTCACTGGGTTCGTGGAATACCAAATCAATTTACTTCCATTTTTATTGGCAATAAGAGTTACGCTTGACTGTATTATTATTTATTGATTTAACTACGTATCTAAAACATATTAATCCTAGCCAGGCAGAGTTGAGGGTTCATATCACTGCCTGATAGCAGCATATCATTTTCCACGAAAAGTAACAGTGGTACCGTTTATTTTACAATCATCTACAACGGCCGGCTATTCAGAAAAGTAAGATTATTTAGTCCGCCGATTACATATGTTGGTTCTTTGCTAAATAAATGATCGATCGTTTTTAAAGCCATGCATACGTAACGCGACAAAATACAACAGTACGTTTTAAATTCGACAACACAAATCAATTTGTTAAAAAATACTTACTAGTCGCTTTTTTCTGATTCACTATTGAATCGAATGTCGCTCGAGATCGCGATGAGCTGTCGGACGATGAGTGACATAAAGCAGTCGATATAAAATTTTACTAACAACCTTTTTTTGTAATATTAACCGTGGCTTGTTACGTTTTGCGATACCGTCGTTATCATTCATGTTTTTTGTCGTAAATTTAATAAAATTTGTTTAGCTTAGCTAATCTCATATCGATGTGATTGCCTGGTAGGTAACCTATAATCATATTTGCTTGAGTAACTCTGATTTACAGGTAACCTCTAAGAATATTTTAGTAATCACGGTATTTCACATTGCACCTACATAAATATGTTTATTCACGGAAATAACATTTTGACGCATTGTGTAGGTGCAACGTTTATGACGACTAAATAATTTCCTGATTCCTTAACTAAGAAAATTTGAATCTTAGGAGTCATTATTATTATTATATTATTTCATCATATAATCGAGGTCTCTACCTACATATACATATATTGGTAAAATGTAACCTTTAAAGTTTTTCAAATCATTCCTTGATATACACAAGTACTCGTACATCTTAACTTTTTCGTGATACCAAGTCTGCCGCCTTTGTTGAAAGGGCGCATGTGACAAAAACTCAAAACCGATAAAATAATGTTTAAAGAAATGAAATAAAAAAATATTGACTTTTTTCTTGCGGTGACTTCATACCTTATCCGCCTAGAAAAAAATAAAAATATTGACAGATCGGCCTCTTCTTACTGATCACGGCAGCATACATAACAAAATTTTAGAAAAAATGTCGCATGCGCCCTTTCTACTAACGGCGGCAGAAGTGACGGGACGAACAAGACGTGCGGCTGATGGTAAACGACTCGCAGTGCCACTCCTAACTTTAAGTTTCATAGGTCTGAGGGCCACTGCCACAGCGCCCGTCACTTTGAGACATAAGTTGACAAGTCATATGCATCTGCAACTATGACCTTTAATTTCCATTATTTCTAACTGTTCAAAACCGAAACTTTGTAACTCGCATTTCTGTTTGGCGGCTGGAATTGGAAAGGTGTAATTGGAGTGTACATTCCTTTCTTGGGACAATTAATTAATATGTTACAATTCTTTTGCTCATACAAAACTTACATTAAAAACAAGTGTAATGCATTCATTCTAAAATAGCTTCATTTTTACAATCAAGTTGCCCCAAAACATTTCATCAATTTTTCAAGTCAGGGTCAGATTAAATAAAAAGGATGTTCAAAGAGGCCAAATCCGTATTACATCGGCTTTATCGAGTTCGTTAGTGGCTAAGGAAACGGCTCCTAATTCGATAATTGTCAATTCCCTGTACTAATCGTACGAACGGTTTGCACCATTGTGTGCAAGATTATCTTTTATATCCTTGTACATAAGATCTTATTTTGTGCGCAACTCTCCATACCAAAGAGTGTAAAGTTCCGACGAAGAAAAGTACATAAACTCGAAGTTAAGAGTTTATTTTATTTCTATGGACATAACTTCTGACATAGTATTAACGATGAGTAAAATTATATCAAACCTGTTGTGGTACGTCAACCCTGTATCCACTAATAGAACACTCAAAAACAATAAATGAAAAAATTGTAACCTATTTGGCGTGTTCAAATGCTTTAATCATTCTATACGATTTTTTTGTGTGTTAGTGGCAAACATTTCATTAACAAGTCTACTCGACTAACAATTATCATATGTTCGCGTGTTTCTATGCCTTTAACGAACCCTTACGCGTACACAGCCGCGAGTTTACCGAACTATAATTCTCTTCGAACCTGGAAACAAAATCAACTCAAGTTAATGTGTGTAGCATAGTTATCTCTAGTGATAAGAAAGCAATAGTGAGGTACGTGTGTGGGTTCAAACCGGTCACAAATTGATGTCTAGTAACTATCAATATTTCCCATTGCAGTTTGAACCTTGTGACGTACAAACACGGTTTTTATATCCGTTATGTCAAAATATCACATTTCGTATACTTTAGTGTGTGGTAGTGTGCACTTACAGCGAGTAAACTGTACGGGGATGGTAAACAAATTTTACAGCGATGTCGCTCCGAAGTTCGACAAGTCACGATATTGTTATGCCAAACGGTTCTGATACACGCGAATTTAACACTAAACGTACTATATCAAAGTTGGTAATGGTCCTATATAAAATCAATGTGACTGTTGTGTATCAGGTCTTTTTAAATGGCGCTAGAGGCAAGGTTGAAATTTGTGTAAATTTCAATGAATGTAGTATTGACCAAGATTCAATTATAGGGCAATATATAACACAACATGGAAGATGTGGGTGTAGACTTGTACCACATCAGAAACGATGCTCAGGTACTCGTATTAAGCTTAAATAAATTTAGGCGTGACGTCACGATAAGACCAAACCGAGGATTACCATATCGCCATATTCTATCATTTCAAATAAGATTTATCAAGTGTCTCCATTTGTTCTATTCGGGAAATGTCGTCGAGGCAAGCCAGGACAATCAGCGAAGGGAGTTCAGTCGACTAATTCGACTATTTCTTTACCAGGTCACAACTAAACTTACTTCGGCTTAAAATGACGATAGACAGAGCCGGATTACCTCCAGCGCCCAGACGATCGTCATCCACTTACAGAAGCTACGACGAACTTGGCATTATCGACAGAGTGAAGCCACTACGATATCGCCATGGGGGCATTGAGGATCTGACTCTGGATCATTCTAGGAATTTCCGTATGTACGAACCTCAAAACATGGATGACATAACTGTGATTAGTTCTGAAGAGATTCCACGGCCGAAAAGAAAGACAATTGAAGGCCTGGCTAATGGATTTAGAAGAACGTTCTCTGTGAGAAGTCGTAAAGAGGAGAATGGGGGAATACCTTTAGAAACGTTTAACATGACTGAGGATAACTACGCGACAGTTAGAGGTGCGCCGTTTGGAAGACGCAGGTCTTTGTCGAGGGAAAGAGGTTCATTGTTAGGACGGAGTTCTTCTGAAGGTGATGTGAGGATGGCACCACCTCGAGCTCCACCTACGAACCCTACTCCGCGCCTTCACCGATGTCTCCGAGCTCTTGGCGGGAGCTGGAAAAACCTTCTCTTATGTGAGTCACAAAGACGTGTTAATTAATCCAGTAACACAGTTCATTAAGAGATAAGCTATAATTAATTTTAAATCAAAAAACGCTTTCATTCGCTGTAGTTTTTATTGACAACTAAATCCTTCAGTTACTCGGAATTTAGTATCAAATAGAGAATAGAAAAAAAAACAGCTTAGTACTAAATTCCGTCAAATTTCAGCTTCTTACTCGTACCTACTAAATGCCAAACGTAACGCTTGGGAAGGCAGTTGTAGCGCTGTGTTAGGGTTCGTGTAACCAATATCATTACCGCGTTTAATATATATATAATATATTTGTAAAATATTAACCTCACAGGACTATATTACTAACATTATAAATACCTTCTGTTCCATACAAAAAATAAAAATATTTATTTCAATAGATCGCTTTTAACGGTGATAATGATAACTCTGTGTGCAAAACGCAGGAACAGGAGTAAGGAACTCACTACTTTATTACAGATCTAAACAGTGTTAGTTAAACAATAAAAACATTGACTTACAAATAAACAAAAAGTTTATTTTTCGTACAATTTTTGTTTTATAAAAAGCCATGGAACAAAAGTTGTTGTTTATGATATTAGTAATATTATAATTATGCGAAGAAGTTAGTATTTTACAAGTAGTCCAATATAATTTATATATATGTACGTCATTTAGTACAGGAGCGATGTTAAAGTCTGACATAGACGTGGCGTATATCTAAACGTGGCATTAACATAAAGTTAAAGCGTAAACAACAGTTAACTTCTCAATTATTCTGTTATTTAAATCGCAGCTAACCAGCGGGCTTGTCTTAGTTAATTATCAGTGCGACGGGTACAAATGACCAAGACGCTTAGTTAGTTAAAGCCATTTAAACCGCAGAGCTTAACCGAATTAAGCGCTTTCTTTTATGTAAATTAACCGATTGTTTGTTCTTGTTGATTAATATTTAACTGCAGTATTTTAAATCAAGTTAAATACCATATGAGCACTACGATAAATAATGATCTTTAAATTTTTATGAAGACTGATTGACAGAATGATAAAATTTATATTTGATATAGATTGATCGTTTTTATATAACTTTTGATATCGTTTTTTTAGTTTCTTTACCGTAATGGGTTTGGATTCAATTATAAACAAGAGAAATAGGTAATAAAATTAATAATTGCTGTTTCAATTCTTGAAATATTTTTTTATATTTTTTTTATGCCCAGTGCTGGAACGAAGAACTCGTGCACCTGGTGGTAAGCAACACGCTTTTCCACAGCAGATGCAGTGTCACTGAGAACTTTAAATCGCAAAGACCTGAGGGGCACTGCCACCGCACCCGTCACCCTGAGACATATGTTGACAAGTCCCATGTGCCTGTAATTTCACCAGCACCCTTTCAAACCGGAACGCTGTTACTCACATTACTGCTTGCAGGCAGTACTCTGGAACAGAATACAAATGAATAGAAGCAAAACAAAATAAAAAATACAACATAAAATAACTGTACCGCCTCAGTCATCCGTGATCATGGGACCTGTAAAGAGCCCGAAACGTTGTTGGTTTGTTTGAAAAAACAAATATACGCGATTCAAATCCGGAAAAATAGTTTCATTTCCTAAACATAAAATAAGACAAAACTGACGAAAAGCAAAAAAACAAACGAAAAACGAACTCTCTCACAAGGAGTGCGGCTGCTACCAAATGACTTGTTTTAGGTTAAAATGAATAACATTTTCATAAACCGCGTCCTCTTTTTCTGTACGAAGTTTACATAGAACTGCGAAACTATTTACGGAATAGCATTTTTGTAAAAGGCAATATGACTAAAAATAAAAGACAATATGAATATAGTCATCTACATCAGAATTCATATCGCATGTAAATGCGTTCACATATTCTATTACAAAAAGGTATATTTGTCCTTCCTAAGCCTTTTATTACGGCTATTATTGACACCTACATATTATTGTGTAAGTAGCCCCTAACACGTGCGTAAACATTCTCAATTGCATATTCATATTGCGAAACGTATTTTAAATATATTAGTGTTATTTTAGCGTCATGTCATAACCGGATGTAATGTATGGTTATAAAATATAACTCCTTGTAACGAAAGTACGCGGTTATGTTTTCTGTAGTGTGAAAGTATTGTTAACATAAAACCAGTTCTTTAACCGACTTCAAAAAGAACGAGGAGGTTCTCAATTGTACTGTATTTTTTTTTATGTTTATGTTACGAGGTTACTCCGACATTTGTGAACTTCGTCAGGAATTCGGCGGCGTTTGACTAGGAAATAATAAAGTTTATAATTTACAGGAAGCTCGATAACAAAAGTGAAATCGAATCTCGGGATCGCAGCTTCAGTAGTCTGTGTTGCCATTAAAAAAATAGCCATTGTTGGCATTTTGAAAAATAAAATCTAAAAAGTACCCATTCACGGTGTTGTTTAGAAAAATCGTTTACCGAAAATGAATAAATACGTAAATGGTTTAACCGTATACATTACACTATTGGGTTTCGACCAATTTACGAATTATTTTTAAACTATAATATCAAAGCGACATTATACTTTTATACATAAGTACCAAAGAGAAGAGAAATTTTGTTATTGATTCAATTTAAAGAGATCTACCAAAAAGCGTGTTACCATTTCGATGACTTTTTTTTGGTACCTCCGTAGTGGTCCCATTTAAATGTGAAGAAAATACTTCATCTCCAAGGGTGCAAAACTAGAGGATGAATCCGATTTATTGGTTTGCACCCTTTTACATACGATAATAGTTTAATTTCCTATGACTAAGGAGGTTCTATGGCGGAAGTAGTTGCCTGCGTTCAGTGAGATGAACTGAAAGCATCCTAAATATGCGTTTGAATCGATTCACGACAGCGCGTTTGCGGCGCGTTTCCGCGCAGATGACGCGCGTTTACGGCGCGTATAAAATACGCCCTGTGGCTCTAATGTCCACACAAGTAGCCTCCCACACTGTTTACATAGTTTCCAACGACAGACGGTGATACATTTACACATTTCGCCGTCGTTGCAAACACTTGTTGTTAGGATACACGTGGGGCGCACTAAATGGTCAGAAATGAATTTATTGTTTCTCAAAATATTGTCCGTTAGCGTTAATGCACTTTTTCATACCAATGTCACCACCACCCTTATGACTTCTGTGTAACGTATTACGTCTATCAAGCCAGGTTAATCTAACGCCATATTCTCATTACGAAAATTGCCTTTTTAATTACACGACACACTGCTCTTACAAGCTCCAAGAATTTTCATAATTGTGATTTTATTAGGGTGGTGTTGTAGGTCTAAAAAGGGGTTGTCTTTACCATTGAAGTAGCTAAATAGAGTCAGTTTATAATAAAAAATAATTTCGAGATTTAGTTTAATTTTTAAGGTTTTTTTTAGAAAATTCGGTGTAGAACTCAATATATTAAGCCTAATGTAAAGCATAGAAAAGCTCGGTTGGTTAAACCAATAAAAATTTGTCATTTTGACATTTTCCGCCGCTTATATCGGTTGCTGATACACCGTTCTGCTTCGCTCCAATAGGTAATGGGGCTAACAGTTCAGCGTTTTGAGGTACGGCTGTCCACAATACCCATTCCATTATAATAATACCATAAGTTTCTCCCTCCATCCCGTCAAGTGGATTTTATTTCATTTTGCATTATAGCATGATCAGCTCCGAATTCTCCCCCTAACCGCCTCTTGGCGGAAATAATACATCTAATAATATTGAGGCACAAGTATAAAGAGAGAACCAGTACATGAACTTATTTTATATGCCATTCTGAATAACTTAATAAAACACAGCTCTTTTGCATACTATTTTATTATATATTTCGTATGTCACGCTATTAGGATAGTGTCAGGAGCAAGCAGCTCTCTGCCTCTCTCTCAACTCTGTCCGGAGTTGACATTTTTTTGAAAGTGTCCCTGTAAATATTTGAATTAGTTGCCTAAAATCGGTCTTTTGCACGACTAAGAGCAAGACCACCTAATTCTAGCCAGACCAAGACCGATTCTGAAAGATTTTAGCAAAAACAAGAGAGACTGCGAAATTTTGGCGTCTCGCAGTTATCTCATACTCAGATATGGGCGTTAGATATTGGTGTATTTGGTTTCAAATCAATATCGATATTGACAGACATTCCCTAGTATCGGCATCAAAACTACAGTTTTTTTCTGTCAATAAGGTTGATTAATTGCAATGCTGAAATGATTTCGTATCGGTATACTTTGAAGTAAGTAGTTTTTTACACATTGTATCTGTGATAAAAAGCGAGTTAAACTAATTTAACGAATTATCAAGAACAACATACACTGAAAATCTAACTAACGAGGCAATGCGTGGTACTTCCTCGAGCGAATCATACATTGTGTAAGTACTTTACATAATATAATATGCTAATTAACATTTTATTATTAACCTTACGCACGGGCTTAGCATATTGTGTGCCTAAAATTATAAGCAACCAATACGATCGTAAAAATATTGTAAAGTTAATTTTCGTCGTTGGGTTGGCCTTCACTATAACTATGTTAATATGTACTCAAAATGTACTTACTCTGTTACGTTGTTCTAAAATCTGAACCAAACCTCACTGCCACATTTTATAAGAATAATGGAATATGATAGTTTGATAAGTAACAAGTAGTTGCAAGACTTGCGAGACCCATGCAGCAAGATCGGGACCAAGACCGAGTGTGCAATACCAAGAACAAGACCAGGTGTACTGACATGAGACCAAGACCAAAATTATTGTTGGTTTCTTTCGTTTCTTCTTATTCTTCTTTGAATCAACTGACCCAACGTTAAAAAGTCTCTCCCAACCGCCATGGTCTAGTTTTGCTTTTGTAACAGTATACGGTTTTTGTTCCATATTAATGTGAATGGTAGGGATTGTCAGCGATTATTCAGTTATCCTTTGCGATGTCGATGACATTTGCCGGCACTTAGCGTAATTACAATTTTCTTTGTTCTCTTTGC